CCCCTGTTCAGATCGGGCTCCACCGATCCATTTGGCCATTTTTTAGGTTCGATTTTCACTGGGGGTCATTGGGAGGGTGGTCACATGACAAATTTCCAAAAATGGTAAAAAAACAAAAGTTGTAGCTCTTTATCATAGCTTCCAGAATCAGTTGGAATTATGTCCTAAAGTGCTTCCATTGTGGAGATATAAGGTAAAAGGTTTTCAAAAGCACCGCGTTTTTTTTTGTTTTTTGCATTTTTCTTCATGAAAAGAACACTAAACAACATGATTTCAACAGATTTAGAAAGCTAAGAGAAGGGGCTACAACTATTGTATCGTGGGAAATTTCTCCCAAAAAGGAAGGTACATGCCCTAAAAGGGTAATTGACACTGACAGACTACAAAAGTAATTTATAGCCTACAAAGTTTACTAATAGACTACAAAAAAGACTACAAAAGTTGGACATAGACCACAAAGGTCAGTCAAAGACTACAAAAATTAGTAGTGTCTGCTTTTCTCATTACAAAAGTAATAGTGTCCGCTTTTTGAGACTACAAAAATTAGTAGTGTCTGTCTTTTCAGACTACAATGGTTTGTAGTGTCCGCTTTTTGAGACTACAAAAGTTAGTAGTGTCTGCTTTTTCAGACCACAATGGTTTGTAGTGTCCGCTTTTTTCATTATAAAAGTTAATAGTGTCCACTTTTTGAGACTACAATGGTTTGTAGTGTCCGCTTTTTGAGACTACAAAAGTTAGTAGTGTCTGCTTTTTCAGACTACAATGGTTTGTAGAGTCCGCTTTGTTCATTATAAAAGTTAATAGTGTCCACTTTTTGAGACTACAAAAGTTAGTAGTGTCTGCTTTTTCAGACTACAATGGTTTGTAGAGTCCGCTTTGTTCATTATAAAAGTTAATAGTGTCCACTTTTTGAGACTACAATGGTTTGTAGTGTCCGCTTTTTCATTACAAAAGTTAATTGTGTCCACTTTTCTGACATATAGTATGTAGTGTGGTTAGCTATATATATATAGGTCATTGGGGATATGATTGAAGGATTGGGATGAGTTGACATTCTGCCACTTATGAATAGTTGCTTTTGATGTCAGGTCCATGGCTGCTTTTTATACTTGCAATCTGTGATGTCTTTTCATATGAGAAGTCACTATCCTATCTAATCAA